CCTACTCCACTGGAGGGCAACAACACGCGTACCGGGAAGAATATCTTCATGTGGGTCGACACTCACGAAGTAAGCAAACAAGAAATCTTCCACATCATGATTTTCTTGCTCTGGAATATGCACCTCTATGTCTTCAATAACTTCGTAATCTTCCGAGACTACCCTCGATGCCGTCCCGTCAGATCCAAAGTACCTAGCACTCTTTGTCTCCTGGAGCATTGACATTAGAGTTGTTCGATTGGCACTGAAGAAAACAAACTGTTCATCTCTGAAGGTCATCTGTTTGAAGCTCCACTGCTGAAACCCGTTGAGATCGGTGACAGGATTCCCATAACCGCTAACATAAAGAGACTGGTCTAAGAATTCTCGGAAGGGTGGGTAATCGGATGGGGCATCGTCCACGCATTCCGTCAGAACGAATGAGGAAAAGATGAACAGGATTACATATGTAAGAGGCATTTTGGTTAGTGATGGCCAGAGAGCTTAGAAGAATGCCAGAGCGTGGAGCAGCGGACATTGAGCTTGGATGCCCCAAGGTTTGTTGATGAGAACAATTCGTTTACGTTGGAGATGGTCAGTGGTACCATAAGGGTGGGCGTGGGCTTTAAATGAGAATTACAATCTGGCATAGTGCTTCTGACCTCGAAAATTTAGATGGAATGCTGCAGTGTCAATCACTATACATCGTTACTGAGGAGCCGGGCTTACCCTCGCGTGTCTGGAAGGCTTTGCTTTACTAGTAAAAATTTCCTTCAGCATATTCTCCCAACCAAGATGAACAAGATTTTGCTGCAAGATGTTGCTTAGAAAACAGTTGCGAGTATTCTAGACCTGATATGATACGCGTCTGTATAATACATAATCCTGAGTCCGCGCACCTACAAGAATCCTACGGTATCAAAGAATGCGGCAGAATCCTTGATGGACGTTGATTTCATCTCTATGCCACTGGGAGGCAACACCCCGCACGCCATGACTAGCAACAACACAACATATCTCAGTCGCCGAAAAACTTGGGAACTTTGACTGTATTCATAGAACGCACTTGTACACACATAAACGTCTAGCATCCCATGTGCAGCACCAGGACCCTTTCAACAGGAACGCCCCCAAAATTTAGTATTCGTTGCAAAGCAGCTTCCACAGGAAAAAAGCTCAAAACTCTGTAGTCGGCCTAGTGTCTAGGTGGCAAATGACCTCATATGAGGTCACTTTTCAACTTATTGTTCTCGACTTGTGCTAGCTCAACAAGATGGAAAAAAGATACTCTCGACACGGCAGTTGACTTCTACGTTGTGGAAGGGTGGAGTTTGGTGAGATCTGCACGTCTTCTCCAGCCATTTTTAAAATGCCCAAAAAGGAGCCTTTTTTGACCAACCTCAAAACGTTTTATGTTGATATCTTCGAAACCAAAACGCCTGTTTAAAAAGTCAACTCATCATTGATACTTCATTAGATTCTTAGTCTCTCTGTGCATTGACAACCGCCATCCCAATGTTTTGCAAGATGTTATTGCCGAGCGCGTATACGTTGAAGAAATGGTGTCCAAACTGAATGTTTTAAAGTTTCGATTTAATTTATATATTTTTGCAAAAAAAAGCTGGCCTCATATGAGGCCATGACTGACCTCATATGAGGTCAAATTGCTTGTCGTCTAGACACTAGAAAGACTGTGGTTCCGTGAACTCCGATACCCCCCGATCCCCGAGGGCGCGGGTGGCCGTCGGATACTTTATTGCGTCGCGACTACGGTATGCCCTATTGGCTATGTCTTATTTACTGTGGTGTGCTGTACTGTCGTCTGGATGTAACCACTGTTGTGTTGCACTGTGCGTCTCGCGCACTCCGTCCGAGCGTCGCTTTTGTTTTTCTGGATGTAACCACACTCCTCCTGACGTGAGTGGTGGGGGGCGCGAGTTGTTGTGGGGTAGGGGGGTGGTAGGCGTAGCTGTATGTGGGTTTGGTGCCGCTTGTACAGCATTGCCTTGAGGGGTTTTGTTAGGATGTCGGCGTACTGCTCCGTCGTGGGGATTCTGCGAATTGTGATTTCTCCCTTTTGTACGATGTCGTAGAGGTAGTGGTAGCGGACATCTATGCACTTGCGGCGGCGTGTGGCCCCCGTGCTATTCGCCGTTTGGACCGCGGCGGTATTGTCGATGTGCATGGTGGGGCGGGCGATTGTGATCCCCATTTCTGTGATCAATTTTTGCAGCCATGTTGTGAGTGTGGCAGCTTCGGCCGCTGCTATGTATTCTGCTTCGCAGGTGCTCTTCGCCACGACTGGCTGCTGTTTCGCTAGCCATTGTACGGGGGCACCGTTGACCATGGTTAGCATCCCTGTACTTGACTTCCTGGTGGTCTGGTCGTTCGCGTAGTCCGCGTCGGAGTACGCGTTGACTGTCACTCCTGTTTCCTTGTTTGATGGCATGAGTATGCCTTCGTTCTTCGTTGCTCTCAGGTATTGTGCAAGCCTCTGTACAGGTTTCCGGTGTCTGCGTGTTGGTTTCTTGAGTGCTCTGGCGAGAGCAGTGGTGGCGAATGCTATGTCGGGGGGGTGCTGTCCGCGATATATCGGATTTCTCCGACAGCTTTTTCGTATGTCGCCGCGATTTCTTCACATTTTTCTTCGCCTTCTGCTGGGGATCCATGTTGATGCCGTCCAGATAGGGGGTGCTCTTGGTGTTTGGCTCTTGCTGGGAAAGGAGGTCCACCACGTTGTCGATGTGCTCTGGTTGGGACAGGTGTATTCCTTCCTGGCTGTATCTTATTGTCCAGTTGAGGTACTTGCTTGGCCGCCCCATTCTCTTGACCTTGTACTTTTTTTGGAGGATTGTGTATAGGTCATTGATGAGGGCTTGGCTGGTAGCAACTGGGAGGAATTCGTCCATGCTAATACCTACGAGTATGGTGTGCCATTTTTGCTTTTTGTGAACAGTGAGGTGTCTGATCTTATTTGTTTGTAACCATGGCGTTTGAGGTGATGGTGCAGCTCTGTACTGTATATATTAGCTGCCGCTGGAGTCCCGTATAAGTTGCCCTTCAGCTCGCCATGTGTTCTTCTATGTTTGTACGTGCCATCGAAGCGTTGAGGCTGCCACACGTACACAAGGTTTTCGTGTTGGTATTTCTCATGCAAATATGCACCAGTGATGTCGAAATGCCCGATGTTCATATTCATGGAGGCTTCTATGACGAATAGCGTTCTGATCGTGGTGCGGTCTGCCATGTACGTGGCCGTTTTTTCGGGATCGTAATGCTCCCGGGGTTTCATGCGGTATCCTCGTATCGAGCATCGCGCTTTCCTTGTTGTGGTCCTTTGCCCTTGTCCATGTTTGTATCGGTAGGTCATGGTGGTCGGGATGATGGCTGTGCGAGCGTGGTTGCGTTTCTGTGATGCCCAGTCTATCGCCTTCATGTCGTCTATTTGCTCCAATTCTGCGTCGTGCGCTATGCCCCATTTGTGCGCGTCGGGGTACAGTCGCGCTTGTTTCAGTGCCTTCGGCAATGTGTTCGTTCTGTCGATTTTTGTGGGCACTGTGCGCATGGCGTGCTTGCGGTTGTGCTGGGTTTTCTTCTTTGTGTTTTGTGTCATTTGCGATTGGCTTCGTCGGGGCTGTGTGCGAGTTGCGAAGGCTGTTGTCGTGGTCGTGCAGGGGTCCCTGTGTTGGTGGTGCGGACGGAAGTTGTCTGCACGCATTTTTGTGTATTTGCGTGTGACAATGTGTTGCACACATATGTGTGTGTTGTCTATTCCATACATGTATCCTATTGGGGTGGCCTTGTGTTGCAGCTTCGGGGCGTTGGGCTTAAGAATTGGCGTGTAGCCTACTTGTCCAAATGTGAACATTTTCCGCATTTGCGGTGCGGTGCCATGCCATGCTGTATGCGTGATGTTTTTCAGTCCGTGATGGTATGTTAAGTTGTATTTAAATACCGCGTCGTAGAGTGCGTCCTGCCAATGTGCATCTGGGAGTTGGCTGTGCGATAGTGTCGCTCTCACTTTCTCCATCAGCGTGCGGTTTATCCTTTCTGCCAGCGCATTCTCCTGAGGAGTGTACGGGGTAGTCGGGCGAAAATGAATTCCTCTCTTTTTGAGCTCTTCTTGTACTGATTTGGCGAGGTACTCTTTTGCATTGTCGGTTACCAATAGTCGCGGGTATCGCTCGTTCTGGGCGGCGATGTGCTCAATGGCGTTGATGATTGTCGTCGGGACTTTTGCTCTGTTGTTGAGACAGTATACCCATAGGTTCCGTGTTGCCGTGTCAATTATTGTTATGAAACAATTAGCGTTGTGTGTGGATGGCGGCTTTATGGGTCCGCATACGTCCGATGAGAGGCTGTCTCCTTTTGCGGCGTGGTGCTTGGTTCTCCTGTGGGGTCTGGCTGTCGTTTTGCCGTCAATACAGCCACTGCAGGTTATCTGTGCGCTGTTGTCTGTTAGACCTTTCGGTAGGGGTGGCAAGAGCCCGTTCTTGGACATTATGAATATGGTTTTCGGGTGGGCATGGCCCAATTTGAGGTGCCACTCGTGCATGAGTTATTGTGTGGCGTTCCGTTTCGCTTCTGTGTTTTGGGGTGCTGTTGTGGTGCGCAGTGTGCGTTTGCTTTTGCTTGTTCCCGAGTACGGGATGCTGTGTGTATGCCTTTTTGTGGGTGCTGGTTGTTTTGTTTTTGTTTTTTGGGAAGTTGTCTTCGTTTTTATCGTTCTTTTCTTACTTGGGTACGTACGTGCGCCTTTGGCGGTTGGCTGTGTCTCACTTGTGGATCTATATTGTCCTTTCGAGTAGGGTGCCGATAGTATGGCTGTTGGTATCTTGGTAGGTGCATGCAGTCGTGCGTGTGTTCTTGTGAATGTGACATGACCATGTGCAGTCAGGTCGTGTACCGAGAGGAGATTTGGTTGGATTTCCGGTGTGTGGACAGCTGGTAGACAGATCTTGTTATTCTTCGTCTGTATTCCAATGTTGCCGGAGTGTGTGATGCGTACGCGTTGGCCAGCGGCAGTCTGTGTCAGTGTACCGGTGCTGGGATGCATGCTCGCGTGGGGTGTAGCAGTATGCGTTGGTTGTGTACCAGAGTCTAATATGAATATGTCCTTACCTTCCAACGTGTCCTGTTGCTCTGTAATTGCGTCTTCCAATATTTGGAGGCGTTCGCGGAGCTCATTCTCTTCGCGTTGTTCGGCGCTTTGGTCATGGTTGCCGTTGTTGGACGCTGTGGCTGTGTTCGCGTGTGCTTTGCGTGGTGTGGTGTACTGTGTCCGTGCGAAGCATTTGTCAGTGCTGTGCGTGACACTGCCATGGATGTGGCACCAGGTGCCTTTGTGGCCTTGTGGTCTGTCGTAGTGTCTCTGTGCGGTTCTCGGCTTAGTGGTGCTTTGCAGTCTGCCGGTCTCTGGGTATTTATCCCATTTTGTGTGTGGTGCAACGGGTGGCTGAGCCTGGTGTGTGTTCCTGCGCTTGGATCAGTTGCGCTTGTTGGATTTGATTCGTGAGCTCACCGATGGTGTTTGGGGGTGTGCATGCCATCATTATGGCTAGTGTGTGCATGTCCGGGTTTTGCGCCAGCCCTTGTACCATGTATCGGACCGTGGTGCGTTCACTGTCGATGTTTGGATATCCAGAAACCTGCATTTAGTAACGTATGTCTCTGTGTCCGTTGACGTATTCTTTGAGCTCTTGTCCTGATTTGTAGTGGAGATGGCGGGCCTCGGCATCCAAGAGTTCGTAGTTCTCGATGGAGCTGGTGTCAACTACATCTTTCAATATACGGCAGATTCTTTGCTGGTCATATCTTAGGACATGTTGTGGTAGCAGTCTCACGACGCTCTCACTGAGGCTTTGCATGATGGCCGTTGTGAGTTGATCTTGCTTGTTTTGTTGCATCTTCCTTTGCGCTGGATCGGTCGCTTGGATTATCGTTTGGTTGAGATGGTCTTGTGCGTCGATCGTTCTTGCGTGTAGTTGTAGTGCATCATACCAGTATGAGAAATTGGAGAGGGTGAGTAGTGGGAGGCATCCCTGGGACATGCTGGTTCTCTCGCTCATTTCGATATGTCTTGGCTAGTGATCTGCTTGTGGGTTGTTGGTTTGACGAATCACAGGAGGTCGCTGGATTGTCTTGTGCGATTGTGCAGTTCGGTTCGTCTTGTTGCGCTGCGTGCGCTACGTTTAACGTCTTCTGTGTGCGGGGTTGGGTGGGACGGATCGTGCTCAGTGGTTTGTGGTGCCCATAACCTGTGGTTCCGAGAACTCCGATACCCCCCCATCCCCGAGGGCGCGGGTGGCCGTCGGATACTCTATTGCGTCGCAACTACGGTATGCCCTATTGGCTATGTCTTATTTACTGTGGTGTGCTGTACTGTAGTCTGGATGTAACCACAAAGACAATGTTCAAAATGTAGGTCATGACAGTCTGTTGTCCGGTGCTGCGTTTCGGTGGTTTTATATGCATAGGCACTGTGATTGGCCACAGTGCCCTAATATTTTAATTGAACTAGGGCGTCCAGCCATGCACCTTCGTTTTCAAGTTCCTCTGTACCCTCCGTCCTGTTCACGGACGACGTACTGTTGACTGTCCGTGGCGGAAAATAGGGGCGTATGCGGATTCGTTGGCGTGTTTGGGACGAAGGATATCCTGAGGGACCTCGGAAGTCAAACACCTTCGGAATCGGTGCTCGTTGGCCTGAGATAAAGGGATTTCTAACACGAGCGCGGACAAGGAGGAAGTGCGAGACGTTTTGCCTTAAGGCAGGGAGGTACCTTCCAGTCTGAGAGCGTGTTGACGCCGCATGCGGCGTCAACCCGCTTCTTCAGAACTCGGA